CGTTGCCGGTCATGAAAAAAGACAAAAGGGGAAAAAAAAAAAAAGATCCCCTTACTGGTCATCTTTATAAAAAAAAAAAAAAAAATCCTTAAGAAGACTTATCAATTCTACCACAAACCAGAATTACCTTGTCTAAAAGGCCAAATATTTTGGGAATTCAGATCTATAAATCTTATTATATTATGGATACAGCATATATAGTTAATCCCATCTGGTAAGAGTGCAATAGAGGGAGGAAAAAAGTCCATAAAATTTAGGGGGTTATTTGTTCTAACTGAGAGTCCCAAGTAGTCAGCTCAACAAAGTCTCCAACAAATTTAAGAACTATAAAATAAAGAGACCACATACGTTTGATTTTGAGATGGCACACATCACGCGTGTGAACAAGCTAACAGAGTGCCTCATGATGTGGCTCTCATTGACTCAACTCTCCCAAAACTTAGTAGAGGAAGAAACTAATGAACCAGTTGAGTAATTTCTACTGTTTCTCTTTCCTTTTCTTTTTTTTTTGCTTTTTAAATCAAGAAAGCTAAATGTCATGATTTAAGAGTGATGGTATTTGGTGAAATGTCCCCCAGTGATGATTCCCAAAACAACCAATATACCACCATGCTGTTGTACATGTGGTTTGGGAAGGGGGTGGACTTTGCAGTCAGATATTCTAGGCTAAAATTTGAACCACTGCTTAACTGTCTAACATGATTAAGTTCTTTAACATTACTGAATCTTGGCCCTGCCCGTGGCTCACTCGGGAGAGTGCGGTGCTGATAACACCATGGCCATGGGTTCGGATCCCATATAGGGATGGCCGGTTAGCTCACTAAGTGAGCATGGTGCTGACAACACCAAGTCAAGGGTTATGATCCCCTTACCTGTCATCTTTAAAAAAAAAAAAACATTACTGAATCTTATTTGGCTCACCCCCCAAAACAGTAATAACAATGCCTGCTTGCAGAGTTATTACATGGTTTAGGCCTAATATATATTACTTCTATATATATATCTGTCGTCCAGCACAGTGCCTAGCATATGGTCATGCCCAGTACACAGTGGTTATCACAAAAAGTGCTTGCTCAATGCGCACATGTATTTATAAAATACATGCAAGAATCTAAATGAAAATCTAAAGCAAAGAGCTTAAATATCTGTTTTTATATTCTATGTACTCATTTTCCTTGTGGCTATGTAAAAGGATACTGAAGGGATGACAGAATCTCCTTTTCAAAACCTTTAAGATGGGCCATCCCGTGGCTCACTCGGGAGAGTGAGGTGCTGATAACACCAAGGCCATGGGTTTGGATCCTATAAAAAACAAACAAACCAAAAAACAACCTTTTTTTTTTTTCTCCTTTTTGTCTTTTTTACTGACCGGTAACGGGATCACAATCCTCAGTGTCGCGCCCGTACTGGGGACCGGCAACGGGATCACAACCCTCGGTGTTGCGCCCGCACCGCGCTCAGCCAGTGAGCGGGAACCGGTCTCCACATGGGATCCGAACCCTCAGCGGGAGCGCCGCCGCGCTCCCAAGTGGCACACTCTCCAGTGCGGCACCGGGCCGGCCCCCAAAAAACAACCTTTAAGATGCTTTAAGAAAAAAACTTATCTCTCTATTTTCCTCTCTCTGTCTTCCTAAGCTTCCTTATTTCTTAGAAGGCAGAGCCCTGGCATGAGGGTATAGTGGTGAGGGAGTAGCCTGGTCTATTTAGGGGACTGAGCAAATAAGCAAAACATACTGAGGATAATGGAGAAAAGGAGAAGAAAGCTAGAGTGAGCCTTGTGGTGGTATGCAGGAATTGAAGACATCCAAATGGACTCATGATTTTCAATACAGATAGAGAAATAACTAAAGATGCAAACGTGTGTGCATATGTGTGAATGTAAGTAAATGCATCCATATATGTATTTCTTTGCTCTGTCCACTGAGAGGACCTGGGAAGAGTAATGCCCCAGTAGTATTTAGTACACCTAGTACCCAGATGATTGTTTTTTTTTTTTTTTTTTTTTTTTTTAAAAAA